ATTTTCTTTCTCAGGAGTTATTGTAAAACAACATATGTGGAGTTGTTTGCTATGATCTCTTCTTTTTGCTATTAGGTTTGTATATGGAAAACCAGATGTTCCAAAAGCTTCTACAGAAATTGCAGCTATAGTACATGCAGAGATAGCAGATTTTGAGAGAGATGGGGAATGGGATGCTGCTCTGGAAATGGTGGTCGAGGGAGGAGATCCAAAAGCTAGGTCATTGCCTGTCAACAACTGATATTGATTTCGTCGCAGCCTTGAGATAATCAAGGTCAGTGATAATGGTTTAAAGGTCTTTGTATCCTTGCAGCCATTCGCAATCCCACCCCTTTGAGTACAGAGATGCATGGTGACGTTTGCATATAGGCCATATCATGTATGTTGCTTTGGAAAAAATTCATTTAACAATAAACTTGTTATTTTATTTTTTATTTTTTGTTCTCTGAAACGTCCTAATTTTGTCTTGTAGTTCAGTGAGTGAAATATTGTGATGAGATTTTCTTCTGTTTGACTCACATATGAAGGGTGATAGCTCAGACATCTCCATCATATGTGCTCACGTTTCTTGATTGTATTTCTTGGTATGGCAGTCTACTGGATCACCTCCATCTGCCTTTCACATACCATATGATTCTTTCAAACAACAATTTGATTCAAGTGGAACAAATGATTCTCACAACTTGAACCCTTCTCGTGTTGTACCTGAGAAAGTTACCGCAAAGGAATTGGACTGAGTTCATTTGTTTTTTCCTTTCAAGCCCCAGACTTGATCTGTATAGATTAATTGACTTAAGGTGTGAAGAATGCTTACAGGCAACCTGAGACTTAATTGTATAGTTTGTGAGCTCTTCTAACATAACATTTACAACTATGATTATTGAACCTACCATCACATGTAAATTTTTTATGGCTGAATCTGTTACTAATCTTATATTTCATGTGGGCCATGTTTGTATTTTGATTGCAGTAGGAACAGATGGGATCTTGTCTGAAGCTAGATGGCTTCTTGATCTTGGGCTTAGTCCAAATTCAAACTCAGCAACTCAAGCAATTGGTTACAGACATGTATGTCTTTGTTAACCGTATTGCTTTTCCTCTTCATTATGTATCAATCTCCAGGATATGCAAACGATGGCTAACTTCGAAATTCATTTCTTGATCCCCCAGAATGCTTATTTTTGTGAAGTGCTTCAGTTTCTTTGTTCGAGTCAATTCCCTTATAAAGTAAATACTCAAATACTCTTTTAAGGCTATTATAAAGTTCTTCTGAATTACCTTAGTTATGATCATATATATAAAATAACAATTTGGGAAATGTTAGAACAGAAGCCCTATAAATGCACCACATCATCTTGAAAGAACACACGTTCTTAATTTCTACATCTAGTTAGTTTCATTGATAAATAAAATAATAAACTAATTAAAAAATTTCACATGTTGAACTTTGATGTTGTGTCATGTAAGAATCTTGTGTTTTCCACAACTTGGAAGCTTTAAAGCTCCACATGTTGAACTTCAAATAATTATTTTGAAAACTTCCATATGTATATAGAAAAAAGAATGGAATTCAGACTAAATACATGTTTCTTCCAAGTAAATTTTCAAGAAAGAGAAAGAAAAATTGTCCAGTAAAGACCCAAATTAGCGCTTGATGACTTCCAAAAACATTGTTTCTATAGATGTGTATCTGAATGACTATTCCTTGGGACATTTCTGTCCAATGTAGTTATTGGTGTATGTAATGGTGTTCTACGGAGAATACTTATGATCTTGCAAATCTAGCTAATCTGTTAAAAAGACATATTGGAAATAGTTCAATCTATATTATGCCATCTGGATTTTTTTGAAATTGATCACTCAACAAATGCTTTAACAGTAGTTCTCATCTAATTTTGTCACCTCCAACTGCAACATGGTTATTCAAGAAGTTTGTTCATTTCATGTGTAGGTCTTGATGTTAGCTCGGATGTGTCAACTGGAGAACAAAATAGTTGCTGTTGGAGAACCTTCTTATCGGTAAACTCCCTAGTCCCTACATTCTACCATGACTGAGTTTTCAAATTGTGCTGAAGATCTTTTACTTGTATTCATCATCAAGAACAACTTTTTCTTTGTCTAATTTCAGTACTCGTAGAAGTAGAATCAAAAGGGTGCGAGAAGGCTTTGAGAATTCCCTCGAGGGAAGGATTGAACTTATTGACGGTTATGCAAGAGTAGGTGTTTCTAACTTTCTATCCGTAAAAACACCATAACTCAGACATGAGAAACCCCTCCTCCATTTCCTCCCCTACTCAAAAGGGGTAGTGAAAAGAAAGGACAAAAATATATCCTTTATGTTTTCTCTTCGCCGAATATATGGTGAAATCTTTCATTTTTCAGACCTCTTCAATGATTGAAATTGAGGTGGAAATGGACTCTGATGTCCTTGCTGCTGAATCAGCAAGAACTGCAGTAAGCAAAGCACCTTCGACTATATTCCTTCCTTACAACCAGTTACACATTTAGCAAGATATAATTGAGTGATTTCTGTCCGCAGGAAACCATGTCAGAACAGATACAACAAATCATGGAACTGGAGAATCTTGAAGAGGCACATCCCCTGTTCCTGTGACTCACACATGTTTTCATCATATGAAGTTGAGATCCTAAGAATAATTTGAGGGTTTTTTTTTTTTTGTCCCTGTTTTTGGCTTTCGTGCAGAAGTGGAGGTTCCAAGCTGAAGCAAACGACGAGGCTGAAAGACTCCTTAGTTCACAACCTATGCTATCGCCAGCAGAAGAGATCAATATGAATGATCTGTAATTCATTTGATTCAAGAATAGCATGGTTTAACATCACCATCATGTGGTCGTGGGGGATGACATGCTTTATTCAAAGCGAAAATTGGAGCATCTAATTATCCATCCTCTTGGAAGCAAATTTAATTTGGGTAGAAGAACTTTGGCAATGACTAAATTACCTTGGGACGCAATGCAATCTGTTTGCACAAACTGAAGAAACAGAGCTGCTCGCAACAGCTGCTCGCTTCTATCACACCTGATAGCTTTTTAACAACTCACTGAATAACCCCTGAAACTCTTATATTCACAAATAGCATCAGTTATTTATGTCTGCAAACACATGAAATAATCTCCTTTACTTCTAGATTTTGCAATGGAAGGATAAACAGCGTCTTCTGATATTATTTCTTTACTTATTTATTTATTTATTATTATTTTGTCTTCCATATGACTATATTTTGGATTCTTGTATAATAAATTTCACAAACTAAATTACATAATATAATTTAGTTTGAATTGTTTTGAGTTACATTAATAATTCTTCTTCTTCTTCTTCAGCGTTTGTCTCGAATTAGCTCTCGAGTATTACATTTTTTAAGTACTGATTCACACAATTCAACCGGCTTCTGCACAAACTCCTTTGTTTCTGCAGAATCAGGATCTTCAAGCCTAAAATGAAAAAAAAAAAAAAAATCAAGTTCCTATTAA